CATACAGACCGTACGTACGTACGTGCAAATTCGCGGCGATCGATACTCTAGTTAGTTAGTTCTCTAACGAACGATTCTTGCATAATAAAATTCGAATTCATCGCGATTCGAGTCACCAGTCTTTGTATCGTTCGATTCGAATTGAATTTCCCGCGCGCTCTTCTTCGATATCTCGCCGATCGAGATAAATCGAACGAGTCAGGTACTCGATGGTAGATAGATAATCCTTTCGGAGGAAAAGAATCGATGTTCGTTCTTTTTCCAGCGGACGTCGCAAAGTCCAAGTGGAAGCATCTGCGAGACAATTTCCGCAACGAATTGAAGAAGACCTATCGAGGGAAGTGCGACGGCGGGGCGAACGAGCACGACTCGAAGTGGGTCTGGTTCAAGAGCCTGTTCTTCCTCCGCGACCAAATGAATTCGAGAGTGATCGGGTGCACGCTTTCGCAGAACTGCTCGCAGGCGGCCCTCCGCTCGTCGCCGGAGGAGACGCAAATCGAGCCACAGATCGACATCCTCGAGGGTCACGAGGAGGCCCAGTTCGACGATCTCGATGGCGATTCTTGCCAGTCTTTGCTATCGAACGACGACGGCCTGCATCAGGTGATGCCGCCGCCTAAGATGAACAAGATCGGTAGGAAAAGGAGCTTGATGGACACGATGGACAACAATTACTCGGACGCCGACCGCAAGAGATTCGAATGTTTGCAGAAGAGGCTGAGGATATCGCAGGAGGAGGAGGAAGACGATACCTATCATTTCCTCATGAGCGTTCGAAATCCATTGAAGAGCTTGCCGCTCGATAGGCAGATGTTTATTAGGTTGAAAATTCAAGAGCTCGTCTACAACGAGATCAACTCGCAGAATCAGCAGAGTCGAACGTACGAGGTCTCGCAAGACGTGAAACCTCCGAGGATAGTGAACGCCGGTGGATCACTCGGAGTCGAGGTTGGACTGGCAGGTAGTCTCGTCACTGGTCTCAGCGAATCCGTCACTGGCGCCGATACAAATGGAAGCGGTGATGGTGGTGGCGGTTGTGGTGGTGGTGGTGGAGGTGGTGGTGGAGGTGGAGGTGGTGGTGGTGGTGGAGGTGCTGCTGCTGCTGCTGCTGCTGCTGGATTAGAGAGAGGGCAGAGTGTTAACGACATGTCCAACCACCCTGCATCGTTACTTCACAATTGCACGACAGAGGGCTCCAGCGAAGATACATTCTTTGGTTAATTTAATTTACATTTTAAGATGTAAGAATCGTAATTTTGTCAATAGGAAATAAACGATGGTATTTTTTCAGTAGCCTGGCGTCAATGATTATTATTATTTCTACTGCTCGTTCTTGGAGAAGCGATCCCTTTTCAACTCGTCGACGAGACACCTGCGAAATGGCCACGCGATCCACGTGGTACAATCCTTTCCTTCAATCCGGAAATTCCATCTCTTTGTCGTTTTATCAATTACCGCTACTGTTATTTATTCATTGCCAATCCACGACTGTATTACTACTTTTCATTGTTACGCGCCAGATGATGGCACATTGTGCCATTACTAATGCTGCTATCTACTACCACTGCTGCTTCTACTGCACCATTGCTACCGTTCTTTCTTATTATTCCCATCATCCTTATTGAGCCGGTCGCGACACACGGGTCAAACTGGTTATGCCCGTTAACACTTCTTCCAAGAATGCAACACTGTTTGGAAGCCTAAGAAAAAATGATCTGAATTTCGCGCCTCAACTACCAGCCGATTTCAAGTAAATTGGGTTTGATTTTTGTTCGAGCACGTACATGTATATAACCTACTGATCTTATCAATTTAGCCTCGGTACATGTACACATATATATATATATATATATATATATATAAAACCTACTAATATATAATACCTATGTAGATAATAGGTTATATACATAGATAATAGATATATAACCTACTGATCTTATCAATTTAGCCTCGGTACATGTACATATATATATGTATATATATATATATATATAACCTATATAGATAATAGATATATAATCTTATGTAAGAGATATATATATAACCTATTGATCTTATCAATTTAGCCTCGGAACATGTACATGTATATATATGTATATACAGAGAGCACTACTATTAACGAGAATACAAAGTAGGTAGTTGATAACGAGGTACTCACAAGTTAATGCCGAGTTGAATTATTCGATCTCTCGTTGGTTGTTTCGACGACCGGTAGGTTTCGACCCGACTACCCGAAAATTTTTTGGAGCGAAATCGCTTGTGACAAGATGCTTCTCGTTTCTTCTGCAGGGAGCGAACAGCCTTGCCATTTCGCGAGCCTACGTGATACGTTGATAAAACTTATCACGGTGGAGCTTTCAGTTTTGCAATATCTCTCCTCTCTTTAACGTAGCTGTACTCTCCATTGTCCGCCTTTACTTCATTGTCTGCCTCCGTATTGTTTCGCATAACTACGACGTACGAGTGAAACGGCGAGCTTTTCACCGAGCATCCGAGTTTCCGAATTCTCTCGTGTAATTATCGGCAACGTTTCTTCGCTAGCAAACCATCGGTTTGCAATTCTTCTTGATCGATATTTTCAATTACACCGCCAACATTGCCGGGCACTCTGATCGATTCTCTCTCTCTCTCTCTCTCTCTCTCTCTGTGTTACGTTTTTTCAATTTGATTCCTCGCTTGGAAAGGCTATACCGAGTTTTACACCGCTTTCTATACGATACGATCGGAACGAACTGTCTGTCAACCGGTCTGTCGCCACGAACATCGTGCAATACCTGGCTCTTTCACACAGGATGTGCATTGTACGTCCCGCGTGTTATTGATTCGCGAGCCGAGTTTGCACCAGTTGCTCACCGCGGTTGTTCACCGTTCACTCGCGATTATTGGACATTGGAGGGAACAAATCGACTCGAGCCGGTCTTTCAATATGCCTTTTAATTAAACTAGGTTATTGGGTGTAGTGCGCGAACAGTCGTATGGAACAGTCCGGTTAGTAGAATTTACTTCAACTCGTCGAGAAGAAGAAGAAGAAGAAGAAAAAGAAGAAGAAGAAGTCTATCGCTTCCTAACGAGCAAAAAACGATCGGATGAAAGAGTCCGATCGCTCGCTCGTGCCTGCTCCAACGTCTTCATGTTTTTCGCTTTCCACGGGGATCTCGCGAAATAACGAGGTAACTTTTACCTCCTGAATAGAAAAGTCACGTCGTCTAGACGGGATACGCTATATTTGCACGGTATATTGCACCGGTTGAATAGCTTATTCGCAAAGTCTGCTCTGGCTGGTAGTCTGCTCGGCCGACCACTCGGTTTTTCCATACAAAGAGGATTAGCATCGTTCTCTTTGTCTTTTGCTTCACTCTCCATCCTCTCTCTCTCTCTCTCTCTTTCTCTCTCAGTCTCATACCCAGTGTTCATAGTTTCGCTTCTTTTTCACTTTTCAGCTTCCTCCTTGCCAAACAAAGCATAGAGAAATCCTCCTCCGTATGGAGAATGTGCAATATCAAAGAGTTAGACGCTGTGTGTAACATTTTCCGAAACTCTTCAATCTTCGAGCTGATGGTGATGGATGCTAATTGCGAAGAAGAAAAGAAAATTTTTCAAAGTGCTTCTGCACAACGCGTTGCGAATTTCTATCAATTTTCCATTCGCCATTTGAAATGTAAAAGGTAAGCTTTGAAAAAAAATTTCGAACTTGCGACTGTTGTCGAAATGGAAACTCTACGCTTTGATATGAGCTCAAGGATTATATAGGATTCTTTTCTAGACTGGTTAAATCAGTTTCGATTGTCGACAATTTCTCATCGTACAGCTACTCTCTTCATTGTATGTCCATCTGCGTATTAGGAAAATGATTATCTTCTAACCAATTCAATGTAAATAATATAAACTTAACGTCTAACATATTGAATTGGCCAAAGAATAATTATTTTTTCAATATGTAGATGAACATATAGCGAAGGACGTAACTGTATTATCCACAAGATCGTGTCTTTTCTCGATATTCTACAAAATATTATTTTATTTACGTTATTTCATTTGACACTGTTGTACCCCTAAGTAGTGTCGTTTTCTGGCACTGTATGAAATTTTATTTTATTTAAATTATTTGTCGCTAA